GCTATGGTCACCGTGCGGGGAGGGGCCCCCCGTGACCCCTGGGGGCGCAGGCCCCGCCCCCTCCCGCCTCACCCAGCCCTCAGTGGGCGCCCGGAGTCTGACAGAGGGGTTCAACCAACAGACCGGACACGGGTGGCATGACGTCACAATCTCGACATGACGTCACAATCGACAGCCCAGCCGAGTTAGAACACACCCGAGCGTTCTGTTCCCACACACACAGCTCCCAGGGCAGCCCCCCTCCTCGCCTGCCGGGGGACACGGGCTGGGCCCAGCGCTCACCGTGCGGGGGGGGCCCCTCGGACACTCTGTCCCAGCTGCCCCGTGGGGATCGGTCCTGAGTGAGTCGGGCGGGGTCCTGCCTTCGGGACCGCCTGGGCTCTCGGCCAGCTCTAGGATTCCCTGTAGTCGAGTAGGAGAGGGGGAGCCATGTTCTTGCCCCAGTTCCTCAAAAGAAAAAGCTGTACCAACAAAAGATGAAATTATGCCGATTAAAATACCACCCCCTTAAGCAATGTTAACATATTGGCAAAAGTTTCAATGCAGATAAGGCAAAAAAAAAAAAAAATCTCTCTCGCTAAAGAAGTGGCCCGATGAAACTGGGGCATTTATTTTAGAAGCAAGAGCCCTCGGTCTGGTAATAAGAACGTTCTTGAGTCGCAAGTTTATTGGAGCGATACTGAGACAGGAAAGCACCAGTGGCCACAGTCTCAGGGTTGGTATGACTGGCAATTAGATAACAGTTCTATGTGCTGTCATTTTTAAAAGCAGAGCAGTGAGGAAACATGGATTGCTATGAACCAGCTGGGCTCTGGGTGAATTTATCAGTGACTAATGAACCAGCCTCCTACAGTAGAACTGCTTGCCAAGATCCTGTTCGCTATAATCTAAACGGTATTGCTACATGTAACACTGACTCATACCGTACATAATGGCATGGCCATTAGTCAGTTCAATTCAAAGAGACTTTGTTGTCCTGACAAGGTGGGCAAGTTGCCAAAGTGTAAAAAAAGAGGCAGCCCTCATTTCTCTGCTAGAGAGGTAGCAGAGCACCTTCCAGAAGATGCTTAGATATTGTTTGATCCATTTCTGATCAGCCGGCAGGTTGCCACAGAGTGCGATCTCTCTCTCTCCCTCTTCTCAGAAGGTCGGGGTGGGTGTTCGACGCTGCTTTTTGATGGGACATCTTTTGACTCGATAACTTGAGGAAGTTTTTTTTCAGGCGTATTTCAGTCACTGGTGCAGAAAGTGCCTCCTGTCGCAATTTTTTCTGTCTCTCGTTAGTTGTATAGCCTGTCTTCTGTGGGTATGAATCGTTGAGACCACCCAGACGGTGCACTTTTTCAGGGGATATGCTCAAAAGAGTAATTTCTCCCGGTAGGCTGGCTGGCTTAGTTCTGGGCCCCTGACCTGCAAGTAAAGATCCAGCAGCTCCTCTCAAACCACAGGCCCTGAGGGCAGGGCAGGAAGCAATGCAAATGCAGCCCCCCAGTCAATAAGGCCCCAGGCCCTGGTGCAGGGCGAGGCAGCAAAGCAAACAGTCCTACAGTTAGTAAGGCCCAGCCCTGGTTCAGGGTGGGGCAGGCAAACACCTTTCCCTAGACACAAGCAGGGAGGGAGAGACTGCCACCCGGTATGTGGGGTGGCAAGGGGGACACAGGCCCTGCCTACTTCACCATGTCCCGGCCCAGGGCCCTAGCAGTGGCAGCCTTGGCTACCCCTGGGGTCAGCGGGGATCCGATCCTCAACACACTGACACACTTTAGTGTTATTAGGTCAGCCTGACAGTCGTCGGCTTCCCCTAGGCCACTTCCTAACTCCCTCTCAGCATCGGTCTGGCTCCACACTGGCTGTTGGTCCTCAGGGTTGTGGTAGTCTGCACCCTGGGGCAGGGTAAAGAAGGTCTCCTCTTCGGAATACGGGCCCAA